AGCTCGTCACTGGGGGCTGGTCAGTCTGAAAACAGCATCAGCCCCTCACCCAGGCTGGCCAGGCACCCAGTGGGGACCCCACCCTGAAGAGGGTGTGGGCAGCCTGAAAACGGCCCTCAGCCCCTCACCCAGGCTGGCCAGGCACCCAGTTGGGACCCCCACCTTGAAGGGGTTTTGGGCAGCCTGAAAACAGCCATCAGCCCCTCACCCAGGCTGGCCAAACCCCCATGGAGTGAGGGTCCCCACTGGGGGGCTTCCAAACTGCAAACAGCCATCAGCCCCTCACCCAGGCTGGCCAGGCACCCCAGCGGGACCCCCACCCTGATCCAGGACACCCTTCAGGGCAAACCAGTCGGCCCCCACCCGTGCACCAGGCCTCTATTCTATATAATAAAAGGGTAATATGCAAATTGACCCTAACAGCAGAATGACTGGGAATCACTGGTCACTATGACACACACTAACCACCAGGGGGCAGATGCTCAATGCAGGAGCTGCCCCCTGGTGGTCAGTGAGCTCCCACAGGGGGAGCTCTTCTCAGCCACAAGCCAGGCTGATGGCTGCCAGCACAGCGGTGGTGGTGGGAGCCTCTCCTGCCTCCTCAGCAGCACTAAGGATGTCCGACTGCAGCTTAGGTCTACTCTCTGCTGGCAAGTGGACATCCCCCGAGGGCTGCCGGGCTGCCAGAGGGATGTCTGACTGCCAGCTTGGGGACATCCTCCGAGGGGTCCCAGACTGCAAGAGGGCATAGGCCGGGCTGAGGGACCCCCCCGAGTGCACAAATTTTTGTGCACCAGGCCTCTAGTAACAATCATAATGCAAGATCTCATTTATACTATTCACTCTTACGGGGAAGTTCTAGTCTCAAATTTCTCCCCACCTTTTCTGGGAGTTACCTTGGACATTCTACTTGTGCTCATTACACTACCTTCCTGACTATTTGTCTGTACTTGTTTGACTTGCTGCTGAGAACTGTGTGTCTGTGCCTGTTTACCAAAGGTGAACCCCTCTGTCCACTAATATCTACCCAGCCTACATGGATGCTGTGTCCCTTAACTACAAAGCCATAGGTAATGATTCTCTGCAACATGGAAGCCATGACACAGGCTCTTCTGTAGCAGAGGCTCCAGCTTTTCAGTCCCAGCCTCTATTGGCCCCATGATCCCATTTTGTTTTGCTTTTAATGTTGCACTTTAAGTCTCAAATGTCAATCTACATAAGCTAATCCAGGAGATGAACCATAAGACATTGCTGCCAAACTTCCCCTCCACTCCGAACTATAGTCCATTTTCCTTTCGTTGACCCACACTGACGCAACTCAACTCACTCTTAAGGTTTCAACATAAATATAATTTCCCTAGGGTAGTATTTGCTGACCTCCTTCCCTAAACTAGGTTAGGTCCCCCTATAATATGCTCCCACAGTACTCTATAATTTTTTGAAATGCTTACTTCACTTGCTCATTGTCTATTATCTCTGATGTTAGAAAGTTCATGGCTTTTTGAGCCTGGCACATTGCCACATAGTTGGAACTCAATAATATTAGTTGAGTGAATGAATTATATGATCAGGAAGACTTAATGTAACTAGGTTCTTGCTTGTGACATCTCTCTCCAACAGTCTTCCTGACACCCCCAGCCCTGTCTGAATCTAGGGTGAACACATCATAAACTCAAGACCTTTGCTATGTGAGGTTTTCTAAGTAGATGGTGGATCCATGTTTCCTAGCTCATAGGAGACTCCATTTCCAAAAGATCATGCTATAACCAAGAAGGGTAGGCAACAAACTGACAAAGACATCATCTCAATAAAGTTGGAATTTCTGTTTGATTTCATTGCAATAAATGGAGGCATTTCAGGTAAAATTATAGAAGCTGGGCAAATAAGAAAGAGATGAGAACAGGAAAACCACAATAAATGACTCATTCGACTCCACCGGTGTTTTCAAGGGCCTAGCTGGGTGCTGGTCACTGAGGTAGAACAGGTGACTCACACCCTTCAGGAGGTCACCATTTATAACCTGTAGATCCATGCTTCTATTTTAAGAAAATGCAGCTGCCTGCCTCTCTGCAGGTGCTGCTGCGGCCAGGATGCCTGCCTGAGCAAGAAATGAGAGGATGGTTCTTTTTAGCAAGACAACAGAATTGCAGTATCATTTGTCCACTTACCTCAGGTGTTGTTTTTCTGACTAACTCTCTAACAAACATCCTCTGGGATCCTGTCTCTGCTAAGTGAAATGAAGTAACAAGTTATGGCTTCTTTTCAGTTTTTTGTCCTATTCCTTTTGTATGGAAAAGTAATGTCAATGTAAATTCATATTAGAATAATAAATGGGGTCCTGTGCTTTACTTATGTTCTAGTCATAGATATCAGCCAAGCAGGACTTATTGTTGAACCCCTACTCTGTCAGGTTTATTCCAGACATGCTAGAATAGAGAAGGAAATTTGTGATTGCTGTCCGCCAGGAACTTAGAACACTGTTGAAGAAACAGGAAAAACTGTAAAAAAAAAAGGTGGGGGGTCTTTACCCCTTTTCTGTTAGACATTTCTGCAAATCTAATCTAAAAATCTTTTCTTTTTCTCTCTCTAAGAAACTGAGCAGGCAGTAACATTGAAAAAAACTGTTTTAATATTCTTTTGTTCTTTTTTGGTGGTAATGTTTATTTCATTGGGAATCTTATCAATGTCAGATTTTACCCCCTACCAACTAGAACAAATTGACTCTTGCCCTCATCATCTCTGCCTCCTTCAACTCTCTTGCCTTCATTGGTTGCTGGTTTTGCAAACTTAAAGAACAATCTTTTGAGCAAGCTGCCAATACTAATTCGTAAAGGTTCTAATCTTTAGAAAGCAACTGGGTCTTCACAAATGTTTATTAGCAATGATGTCAACTGAACAGAAAGAGCTCCTGGTTTTTGTTCCTTCTCAATCTGGGGTTTCCTGTTCTCAGTTGGCCTTCGTCATCTGAATAAACAAAGCTTCTTCCTATTTATTATTTTGCTAAGATTAGCAGTATGTTCAGTCATGGGTGTTGCAGAATCTTGGGGAATTGCACTTTTCACTTTAAGGCAGGATGGCTTTGTGATGGATGGTTCCCTGGGCTCTTTCGACTCTGCTTCCTGCTTTCTCTTTCTCTAGCTCATTGCATGCTGCTGTTCACCTTGCAAAACGTCTGACATTTTGAGAGCTGAGACAAAACACTTAAAGAGTGACAGAGCTGGGAAGAGAGAAATACTTCGAGTAGATTGACATGTTCCTGAAGATATGAGCTAGTTACTGACTCAAGTTTCAGACACTGTACCTACATTACCTTATTTAGTCCTCACAATAGCTGTACAAAATAAATGTATTTTACAGATTAGGAATTGATGCTCAAGGCAGTTAAATATTCTGATCAAAGTCACACGATTCATGAGCAGTAGAGTCTGGATTCAAGACCAAATGAGCCTGGAATAGTTGCCAGTCCTCCAAGTTCATATAAGTTGCTGCACACCTCATGGAGCCCTTGTCACAGAGCACCATTGTTAACTCCTTCCTTTTCTTTTCTTAGCTGACCTCTGAACTACTCAAGAATGCAGATGCTGTCTTGTTATTATGCTAAGAACCTGCTTCAGTAGGTGCTGTGAGTGCT